AAAGAGTCTGCACAAACTGCACCTGGCCTGCCTCGTCAAACCCTGCAAAGTCCTAAACCCTAAACCCTAAACCCTAAACCCTAAGCCCTAGGTTTTGCCAAAAGAGAGGTTTGGGGTTTTGTTTTCTGCAACAATGACAAAGAGTCTGCACAAACTGCACCTGGCCTGCCTCGTCAAACCCTGCAAAGTCCTAAACCCTAAACCCTAAGCCCTAGGTTTTTCCAAAAGAAAGATCTCCCCGGACTGTCCAAACCCTAAACCCTAGGGGCCTCTCGCTGCCTGCTTTGGCTGCTTAGGAATGTCACTTGGATCCTCTAAACCCTAAACCCTAAACCCTAGCACGAAGCCTGGCGCTGCAGCTTGCTAAGGGCCTGGCAAACCCTAAACCCTCAGCCCTTGCTGCAGCAGCAAATTATAGCGAGCCGTAAACTCTGTTGTGCATGCGCGCCGTCCCGAGGGTTTAGGGTTTAGGGTTTAGGGTTTAGGGTTTAGGGTTTGGGGTTTGAATGCAGGTTTCTGTGGACAAGAAGACCGCGACGCCGGCCGTGCTGCTGCAGCAGTTCTTGCTGCTGCCGCTGAAGCACAAATGGACTTATGCTGCTGCGCTGCTGCAGCAGCAGCAAAACTGCAGCAGAATTATGATCTTCACAAACACTTGTCTTGCTGCTAGGAAGCTTGCTGCCTTCCTCAGGCACATGGCCTTCGAAGCAGTATGCTGCTGCTGCTGTTGCTGCTGCTGCTGTTGCTGCTGCTGCTGCTGCTTCTGCTGCTGCTGCTGCTGCTGCTGCTGCTGTTATGGCTGCTGCTGCCGTGGCTGCTGCTGCTGCTGCTGCTTTGGTAGGGGTAGTGGCCTGGCTGAGTTACTAGGCGTCCAAGGCAGCAGGCTGCTGCCGCAGCAGCCTGCTGCTGCGGCTGCTGCTGCAGCAGTTGCTGCTGCCGCTGCGGCACGCGAATCCGCAGCAGCAGCAGCAGCAAGTGCAGCAGCAGCAAGTGCTATTTGCTGCTGCTGTGCTGCAGGTTTGCCTCCACGGCCAAATGACGCAGCCGCAGCGGATTGGAGCCCTCTCGAAGTTCAGAGCTGGTAGTTGCTGCTGCTGTTGCTGCTGTTTTTGCTGCTGCTGTTGCTGCTTCTGCTGCATTTTTGTTGTACTTGTTGCTGCTGGCGCCTCTTTGTTGCTGCTGCTGCTGCTGCTGCTGCTGCTGCCTCTTCCATGCTGCAAGCGGAAGCAACTCGCTTTGCAAATGCGGAAGCAGGAGACCAAGTGCAGCAATTGGTGGGGAGTGTTGTTTGCTGCTGCTGCTGCTGCTGCTGCTGCAGCAGAAGCTCGGATTTTAACTGCTACAGAAGTTGGCAGCAGAGGCCTCGATATTCCTGCAGTCGATTTTGTCCTTAACTTCGATGTGCCCCTCAGCTCCAAAGACTACATCCACAGGTACTTGCTGCTGCTGCTGCTGCTGCTGCTGCTGCTGCTGCTGCTGCTGCTGCTGCTGCTGCTGC